TGCAGCGCATGGTCTGTCTTACCTAGGACACCAGTGGATGTAACATGTGCAGCGCATGGTCTGTCTTACCTAGGACACCAGTGGATGTAACATGTGCAGCGCATGGTCTGTCTTACCTAGGACACCAGTGGATGTAACATGTGCAGCGCATAGTCTGTCTTACCTAGGACACCAGTGGATGTAACATGTGCAGGGTATGGTCTGTCTTACCTAGGACACCAGTGACGTAACATGTGCAGCGCATGGTCTGTCTTACCTAGGACACCAGTGGATGTAACATGTGCAGGCATGGTCTGTCTTACCTAGGACACCAGTGGATGTAACATGTGCAGCGCATGGTCTGTCTTACCTAGGACACCAGTGGATGTAACATGTGCAGGGTATGGTCTGTCTTACCTAGGACACCAGTGGATGTAACATGTGCAGGGTATGGTCTGTCTTACCTAGGACACCAGTGGATGTAACATGTGCAGCGCATGGTCTGTCTTACCTAGGACACCAGTGGATGTAACATGTGCAGCGCATGGTCTGTCTTACCTAGGACACCAGTGGATGTAACATGTGCAGCGCATGGTCTGTCTTACCTAGGACACCAGTGGATGTAACATGTGCAGGGTATGGTCTGTCTTACCTAGGACACCAGTGGATGTAACATGTGCAGCGCATGGTCTGTCTTACCTAGGACACCAGTGGATGTAACATGTGCAGCGCATGGTCTGTCTTACCTAGGACACCAGTGGATGTAACATGTGCAGCGCATGGTCTGTCTTACCTAGGACACCAGTGGATGTAACATGTGCAGCGCATGGTCTGTCTTACCTAGGACACCAGTGGATGTAACATGTGCAGGGTATGGTCTGTCTTACCTAGGACACCAGTGGATGTAACATGTGCAGCGCATGGTCTGTCTTACCTAGGACACCAGTGGATGTAACATGTGCAGCGCATGGTCTGTCTTACCTAGGACACCAGTGGATGTAACATGTGCAGGGTATGGTCTGTCTTACCTAGGACACCAGTGGACGTAACATGTGCAGCGCATGGTCTGTCTTACCTAGGACACCAGTGGATGTAACATGTGCAGGGTATGGTCTGTCTTACCTAGGACACCAGTGGATGTAACATGTGCAGCGCATGGTCTGTCTTACCTAGGACACCAGTGGATGTAACATGTGCAGGGTATGGTCTGTCTTACCTAGGACACCAGTGGATGTAACATGTGCAGCGCATGGTCTGTCTTACCTAGGACACCAGTGGATGTAACATGTGCAGGGCATGGTCTGTCTTACCTAGGACACCAGTGGATGTAACATGTGCAGCGCATGGTCTGTCTTACCTAGGACACCAGTGGATGTAACATGTGCAGCGCATGGTCTGTCTTACCTAGGACACCAGTGGATGTAACATGTGCAGGGTATGGTCTGTCTTACCTAGGACACCAGTGGATGTAACATGTGCAGCGCATGGTCTGTCTTACCTAGGACACCAGTGGATGTAACATGTGCAGCGCATGGTCTGTCTTACCTAGGACACCAGTGGATGTAACATGTGCAGCGCATGGTCTGTCTTACCTAGGACACCAGTGGATGTAACATGTGCAGGGTATGGTCTGTCTTACCTAGGACACCAGTGGATGTAACATGTGCAGGGCATGGTCTGTCTTACCTAGGACACCAGTGGATGTAACATGTGCAGCGCATGGTCTGTCTTACCTAGGACACCAGTGGATGTAACATGTGCAGCGCATGGTCTGTCTTACCTAGGACACCAGTGGATGTAACATGTGCAGGGCATGGTCTGTCTTACCTAGGACACCAGTGGATGTAACATGTGCAGGGTATGGTCTGTCTTACCTAGGACACCAGTGGATGTAACATGTGCAGCGCATGGTCTGTCTTACCTAGGACACCAGTGGATGTAACATGTGCAGCGCATGGTCTGTCTTACCTAGGACACCAGTGGATGTAACATGTGCAGGGTATGGTCTGTCTTACCTAGGACACCAGTGGATGTAACATGTGCAGCGCATGGTCTGTCTTACCTAGGACACCAGTGGATGTAACATGTGCAGCGCATGGTCTGTCTTACCTAGGACACCAGTGGATGTAACATGTGCAGCGCATGGTCTGTCTTACCTAGGACACCAGTGGATGTAACATGTGCAGGGTATGGTCTGTCTTACCTAGGACACCAGTGGATGTAACATGTGCAGCGCATGGTCTGTCTTACCTAGGACACCAGTGGACGTAACATGTGCAGCGCATGGTCTGTCTTACCTAGGACACCAGTGGATGTAACATGTGCAGCGCATGGTCTGTCTTACCTAGGACACCAGTGGATGTAACATGTGCAGCGCATGGTCTGTCTTCCCTAGGACACCAGTGGATGTAACATGTGCAGGGTATGGTCTGTCTTACCTAGGACACCAGTGGATGTAACATGTGCAGCGCATGGTCTGTCTTACCTAGGACACCAGTGGATGTAACATGTGCAGGGTATGGTCTGTCTTACCTAGGACACCAGTGGATGTAACATGTGCAGCGCATGGTCTGTCTTACCTAGGACACCAGTGGATGTAACATGTGCAGGGTATGGTCTGTCTTATCTAGGACACCAGTGGATGTAACATGTGCAGGGCATGGTCTGTGACCACTTCTACCATCTAACAGCTTCTTTCACTATATGACCACTTCTACCATCTCACCACCTCTCCTTCCATCTCACCACTTCTACCATCTCACCCATTTCCTCTACCATCTCACCACTTCTACCACCTCACCACTTCTTCTATATCACCACTTCTACTATCTCATCACCTCTTCTTCCATCTCACCACTTCTACCATCTCATCCATTTCTTCTACCATCTCACTGCTTCTACCATCTCACTGCTTCTGCCATCTCACTGCTTCTACCATCTCACTGCTTCTACCATCTCACTGCTTCTGCCATCTCACTGCTTCTACCATCTCACTGCTTCTACCATCTCACTGCTTCTGCCATCTCACTGCTTCTACCATCTCACTGCTTCTACCATCTCACTGCTTCTGCCATCTCACTGCTTCTGCCATCTCACTGCTTCTACCAACTCACCCATTTCCTCTACCATCTCACCCATTTCTCCTTCCTTCTCACCCACTTCTCCTTTCCATTTCTCTTACCCACTTCTTTGACAATTTTACTTCTCCTACCATCTCACCAATATGTACCATCTCACCCACTTTTCTTGCAGACTGACCTATTTCCATAGCACTTTGCACTCCATTCTGCCTAATGTTCAATCTCACCAACTATCCCTACCATCCCAACCACTTTTTCACTCACAAATGAAAAATTAGTATTTACGTGAGGATTTCATTTGAAAAGAATTGCTTGGCTGATCCATGCAAAACTTATACCTGCATCAGCTTTGCGGGTAGATGTCCAACTACAAACAACATGTTATCTTACAAACCCATTCTTTCTGGTGTAGACATAACAGCACACAATCAAAGAGCGATAATTAATCACCCCTCTACAGCCAGCATGCATTCCTGCCATACAAACCTTTGCATTGATACTGTAAGTGCATCCATATATACAGCATATGGCATGTTAGCATGGCATTTGGAAATTCTAATTGTGTCTCTTTTTCATAATATGGATTGTTGTCACTATACAAAAGAATATAACCTGGAACTCGGTATTTGTTCACTTCTCCCGAATTGTTTTCTGATGACATGGGATGGGGAGAGTTGGCAACACCCTGCCTTCTCTCTCATTAATAAACAGCTAGTCCTGAGTTATCTCCCTTGACAAGGGGTGCTGGATAAGTACACCTATAATTGCTCTGTCCTACACTGTTCAGGCTCTCCACGCATCATGACAGATTAACTGTTTGATTGGCATTGTAGAAGTTAGTGAGCAAATAAAGAAAACATACAACTTGATTGATAACTTCTGGTTTACTGCATACAGCGACGTTTCAATGTAGATTCTTACACTATTACATTCCAGCATGATAATGGCGTACAAATCTACATCAAAACATCAGGAAATGCTATCCATAAAGTTTTCTTGTGACAAAGTACAAACCTCACCAGAAAAACATTTATATCTACAAATAACCAAATAGTCCTGTCTGAAGAAGGGCATGCTGCACTCATCAGATATCAATGACAGCCATGTATCATGCATACTGCTAACTATGCACCTACAACAATGGTTTTGAATCCTTTGATCCAAACAGGGCTGCCTTCTCATTAGTGTGATTACAACAGAAGATCACTATTATAGAAGTTGACAAGCTGTGGCTGAATCAATGTCCTTCTTTATAAACCTCTAACAGCATAAACCTATTGTTTTTACTGAGCTGTCATTTTGTAGAACCAGACTATCCCCCTGTCCTGGGGATATAGAAAGTATCTCAGGCCTAGGGATAAGAAAGTGTCACTGTCCCAGGGATATTCTATAGAAAGTCATATTGTCCAAGGGA